GTTGTTGTTTTAAACTTGAGTATGAACTTATACAAAATGCAGCAAGATATTTAAAAAGACAGTTTTGTTGATTAAAAAACACTATATCGGATTCATATCGGTATCGGCAGATATCCAAATTTATGATATCGGTATCGGACATAAAAAAGTGGTATCGTGCCATCTCTAGTTTATACAGCTGACATCATTACATGCACCAGGATGTAGCTCAACCTTACCCAGCCAGTCTACTTTTCCATGCAATAAGCTGGAAGGGCAACATTGCCTAAATTTAGAGATGACGGCACATGCTCAGTAAAAACAAGCTCATAACTAATACTATTATCAGGCGAAAGCACTTTACTAGAGCTACTGTTTGATACATCCACATTCATATCACCCACAGTAAAAACACATATAGAGGCACTGGCCTGAATAAAAGACATGACAACCTGTTACGATAGTCAACCTCATTCTGGGGACACTCGTGAGGAAACTCTCACTGGACTGGGCTGATGCGTTTAGCGGTTTCTGGGGCTTACTTTTTCCTTTCCTCACAGCCAAGCTCCTCGCAGGGAACAAAGGTTGGGCATGCCAGCCCTGTTCCTCTGGCTGAGGAGGTGGTGCTATAGGCTCCTGTACATCTTCCTCCTCATGAAACTCCTTCAGCTCTCTGGATTTTACCAGGCAATGTGTGAAGCTCCTTGACTGCCGTAATCCGACGAGCCATAGCGACCACTGCCGGCTCCAAGTCTTCACTAATGCTTCGCTGTGCTTCTAAGGTCTCATGCATGCTCCAGACTCAACCACCACTACATACTGCTGAGTAAATCGGAGGCGTTCATGTTGCCAAATCCAGGAGGTAACAACTTGAACAATTTCATCCAAGAAGTGCAACACAAATCGGAATACTTTCTCCACACTCATTAAGCCCTTTAAGGCAGTCCTTAATGTTGTTTGTGTCCTGTTGGGAACCCTGGTGTTTGACAGTGTACTGGAGTTGTGCACACCTCAAACAAACAGCCACACGGACTCTTCAGTCCAATGAGATGAAACATTTTTCATGGGTTATAACACGATTTCATCATGTGACTTTGATTACAATAAAGTACAAAAACTCATCACCTGCTCTCACCTTCCCATCGGCTGTTTTTGGAAATAAAAAGCTGACTTTATTCATGTATGTGCAATAACTCGAGCACGCACGCCACACCCGCAGCCGTATCTACCAATGCATGCACAGGGACTCATGCAAGCTTAATCTGATGCTGGACATTTAATGCTATTACTTGTCTTGCATTTCAGCAGTGCATGCTGGTTACAAGCTTTCAAAACAACAACACAAATATATGGATATCTAGCATCGGGAATACCAAGCAAATATCACACACAGACACAACTAATGAAACGAAACACAAACAGAACGCAATAAGCACTCACAATGTTTCAGTGTGTGTGTGTGTGTGTGTGTGTGTGTGTGTGTGTGTGTGTGTGTGTGTGTGTGTGTGTGTGTGTGTGTGTGTGTGGTGGGAAGGCATTGATCAAAGCAGCTTAATAGCTAGGTTCAACACTGTACTGTTCCTGTTGCGAGCTGAAGGCTACTTCAGTCCTCATTACAGCCTCCGACAGGAGGCAGAGACAGGAAAGGAAGGACAAGGAAATGAATCCTCTGCAACTCTGAATCTCCATAAATCACAGCAGCACACAAAGAACACTTTAGCTCGTCTCAGAAAGCAGAAACCTGCACACACAAACACAGAGCCACATGCACTTATGCCTAAATTTAGATATACACTTTAATGGGAGACAAACACACATGGAGGCTGCATGCACACACCCACACACAAAAGCAGCAGCGTCAGTGCATTTTATTTCAACTCCTCATCTGGCTGCTGTAAAAACAAGCCTGCCCCAGTGGGCTGGAAACTCTTTCCCTATTAAAGTTACACTTTTTCTAAAATCCAGGTACGTTAAAACAAGTCACTTCCTGGCTGCCACAAGCAGGACTAATCCCCAGGCAACTCAAGTCACATGTTACTGAGTGACACTGCTACAAATACAGTATTTTATTAAAAATGTGAACTTGACAGAAAACTGCCCAAAAGCTTTGATCTGTTGAGTTTCAGAGCTCAAACTAATCTATACCCGGCCTTCTGCCTAAAAACATGCAGATCATGCTGCAAGGTAGCAGCAGTCCAGATCTTGAAAGGGGGCAAATTTACACGAACCAAGGGTTTCTATTTTTATGACCTATTCGCAGAACTTTTTGACCATATGCTTGAAGCTCAGTGCCAACTATATCCTAAATATCTGCGGGACACCACAGCTTCTAATGCTGCCCACTAATTATCGCCATATATCTGCACCCTCATCGCATTTTTCCTGCCCCAAGGCTTTTGACCATAGATAAAGGTTGGCAATAAGAGTATGGAGTAACCCCCCGCTTTTGCACCTTGCACATCCTGACCTAATGATGCCAAGAGGACAGTGCATAAGCTGCCAAAACATTCTCCATTTTAACAGCCTAATTAGCAAACTCCAAGAACAAGCCTGACTTCAAGCTGAGAATGAGAAGGTGGTTTTTATTTAACTGCAGCACACTGGTGACACCTCAATTATGGTTGAAGCAACAGCCGTTAACGAATCTGATGCACCCAAATGTGTGCTTCAACAACACCGCACAAAACAACAACAGAGAGACAAAACCACAGGAGGACTTAGAACAGGACTTACCTATGATGGAGAACCCGCCGAGGCAACAATCATCACAGAACATGGAAAATAAAATCAACAAAATTAACAATTACAGTTTGGCCTTTTGGAACCATTATACTTCAAGGAGACGGGGTAAGAATTGTTATTGCGTAACACCTTTAGTGAAAAAACAGGACACCTGCTTTTATTTTCCAACAAAGACAGGCAGCTACAGCAGTGAGGAAAACAGAGTTAACTGGATGCAGGGAAAAGAAGACAGCGTGACACCATAACCCCTGGATGCAAAGGAAAGGGATAATGATCACAGGGTTAACAGAGACCTGGACAGAAGAGAAAAGTACAGGTTTCGTTTTGATTTGGTGAAGATACCTACTGGTGCTGCTAGGAAGGAAGACTGTGAATGGTTAGTAGTGTCACACCTGTCAACAGCAACACTGTTAGTCATGAGAACATCTCAGCAGTGCATCATTGGGAACAGGATACTACAGATAAAAGGGATGTTTCAGTTTCTTTTAAGTAGTTCTGTATAAGGTGCTGATTCGTACTCAGTGTATTATATTCAGCTTCTTCCCAGTTAGGAGATGCAAAGCGTATACGTACTGTAGGTGTTTAAAACATCAAAGATGAGGCCCCGCTAAATGAGCAACTCTGTCTTCTGCAAGGTAACAGTGCTGTCTTTGTCAAAGTACTTATCGCTGTTAAGATAGAGAGGTGATGGCTTCAGGAAACTTGTGTCTGGTAGTAGTGTTGAGTCCTGAAAATACTCTAAATATAGCTTACAGTTACACTGACCGTTTGGCTTCGAGTACTGATTAATACCTTATACGATCCCACTGCAATGAAACCCAAACATCCCTTTAGAGTCAAGGCAATCCACAGCCCTGTTGGTCAACACTTCAATCCATGCGTTAGTCACTCAAAAACAGCCAGCAAGCCTCAGCCAAGTCTTTAGACAAATGTATCCATGCAAGAAAACAGAACGAATGGGTGTAATGATTGACATAACCCCTGATGAATATAATACACCCAAGCAATCAGTTCTGCTCAAGATCTATCGGACGTCAGTTTCAAATATGGGAAGTACCCAAGCTGGATTGCAACATGCATGGCAACCATTTGTCTACATGTTTTAGTTACTTTATGTATTTCTACGTTGTCCAGGGGTGACTACAACCAACCTTCAACGAGAGGAACATCTTGATTGGCCACAGCTGGTTCTTCCATGGGATCAGCAAAGCTGGGAAAGAAGGGCTTAGCTGCAGGATTAAGACCAGATCCTGGAACTGCCAGAGGGGGGACCGATGGAGGGGAAGAGGGGCTGGTGACAGGCGATGCCATTGGAGAGAACCTTTTAGCTTCTGGGGAGGTTGGACTCTTAACAGAGGATGAAGAAGATGAAGAGCGTGGTTTCTTGGATTGTTTTGGGGATGATTTGCCTTCTTTGAGCTCTCTGGCTTGGAATTCCTGTGCCGTAGTTTTTGGGGAACGGAGAGGTGCTGGGCTTGGGGTGTCGAAGTTTAGGCCTAAGGGTAAAGGATGACCTAGCGCACCCATGTCAGCAAAATTAAATAAATCGCTGTTGCTGCTCATATTTGAGCTGTTCAGAACCCATGAAGCATCAGATGGCGAGAGAGGTGGTGCTGAGGCTAACACCTCACCTTCAGGGGAACAATTTGGGCTTGGCTGGGTGGCAGGGCTGAAGGCTGAGGTGTCTGCCTCAGGCGTGGCTTGCTCACAACATTCCTGGAGAGAACTGCTGTTGTCAAACATGCCGCTGTCTACCAGATTACCAACTGCTGCTTCATTCTCTGGAGAAAAGAGTGGTGAAAAAGCCTCTTTGCTGTTGCCCAGACTTGCATTTTCGGTTTCCATCAAGAGATCAAATGGGTCACAACATGGAGGGGCCACAGGGAAGGAACCGAGTGATTTGCCGTTGGTGGTAGAGGGCATAGTAAACGGAGCTGCTGTGGCTTTCAGCTCACTGTTCAGGACCAGTGGGCTAATGGGAGCCGCTCCTGGGGAGAAAAGATCCTGAGACAGAGGGGAAGATACCAAGCCTTCATCTGGGTAGACCTCCTTTTTCCAGGGGCTCTGGCTTGAATCTTCATCTGCCAAGTAGGCCTCAAGGTTGTCCAGAGTTGAACTCCCAAGATCCATCATGTCCTCCTCTGTAATGTTAGAGGTCACAGCAGATGAAGGAACAAATGGTTCTGCCACTCCCCACTCCTCTGGAAGCTTCTTCCTGCTCTTCCCCTTCTTCCCTCGGCCTCCACTCTTCCCAAGTTGCTCCTCCCAACCACCCTCTGCTTTATCCCTCCTTGGGCCAATCCTATGATAGAACTCCTCTGTTGGTCGGGTGCTTTCTCCCAGTGCTTGCATCTCAGGGTGGCCCTTGCTCTCCAGTTGTTCATAGGATCCCTCATCTTTCTGTCGTCTTTTCTTCTTCTTCTTTTGTTTTCGGTCTGATCCATCCCTGTCCCTTTCGTCGCCTCCAGCATAGGCAGCGCTCTCACGGCTAGGCCAACTGTCAGGTGGGTCCTCAGGGCTGGCTGCAAGATGGCTGGCATGTCGAGCAATCACTGTGGTGACACTTGGAGTAAAAGGGAGGTCTGTCGACAGGCAGCCAGCCTGGTCTGGCCAGCCTAAGGCACCTTGTTGTGGGTGAAGAGGGCATAGTTTAAGGTAGGTAAAGATAGATATGTGCATATTAACTTTTTTCCCTTAGTCTAAAACAAACAATACAGAGAAAGCCCAAAAAGTTGATTGGTTTGAATCGGGGGTCAAGGAGGCCATTTACGTGAAAAAGCAAAGACCATCTCTGAATCGAGGAGTATGAGGTACTCATGGCCATTGATCAGTGGTCTTTGATCAATGGTTGTTGATCAATGGTCATGACAATTTTCATACTAATGATCACGAACCTGACCTCACAGCCCATTGTTCATTCAGTGGTGCTAGTTTGTACTGTTCATAAATGTAGTGGAAATCTGGATTCAGCTGAAGAAGAAGTGAAGTGGATGAAACGTTTCTCCCACGGAAAACGTCCAGATGAACAGAATCAACTTTTTGGGATTTCCTTACCTGGATGATTGAGCATGCACCAAAACGGACAGAGAAATATCACAAGAAGACTGGGATACTGATTACACAAACAGCGTAACATTTTAGAGCCTCATTTCTGTTGCCCTTTAGTGAAGAAAGTGTGCATGTTCTCATATTCTTTAAGAGGATCTACTTACTTACAGTGGTCATATTGGCAATATTATGTTTCAAATAATAAGCTCAGCTTATTTGGAAGTAATCAAAAAATAAAAAGGTTTCAGACTAGTCCAAATGCTCAGTTTCACACAGTTGTTTCTTTATAATGTCAGTGATTGGAAATAGTCTTTATACGGTCATGGCAGACACACATATCAGCACACAGGCTCCGCCCAGCAGCTGGTTAAAGTTTGTGCTTGTGAGGGGCAGCCAACCAGAATAAAGTTGGATTTAAAGGAGAGGAGGGGAATTAAACAGTCAAACTTGTTTCAGACAATGGTTGAAATGTGGAGCTGCACAGAGGCCCAGTGAAGGATTAATGAAGAGTCTAAGAATCAGCTACAAATGGAAATAATACAACTTTAACACAGAGCGGATAAAGTAATCCAAACCAAGCCGTGATAGTATGAAGATTTCTTCTAATGTAATACTGACTGAGCAAATGGATAGTGACATTTAAACATACACACACACACACACACGCACACACACGCACACGCACACACACGCACACGCACACACACACACACACACACACACACACACGCAGTATATGAGCAACTTAAAGGATGGAGACAATAGGCTAATTTTGGGCGACTGACTCAGAGCAGCCTTGAGGACTAGTACATTGTGTACACTCACAATTAAGCTAGTAGCAAACGACATAGCTTTGTGCAGGCACATGAGAGTGTGTGCATGTAAGTATGTAGTACCTAGAGTGAAGTGCCCAACATGCACACAATGATAGACACAGAAAGACGTGGAAAAAATATCAAGAAGAATGCTTAATGGTCCCACAGAAAGGAGGTCAAACACAGGTCACTTTACTGTAACTAAAGCAGACTCCATTAGTTTTGTGCCACAGTTTAACATTGCTTCAGTAATAGAGGGCATTTATAATGGATGGCAGTAGTCAACCTGATTTCAGTCTAGAAGGGAGACGGTAAAGATAGGATGGCGAATGCAAGATACAGGAGTGCTAACAAGAGCAGCGGGGACATCGTCCACTGAGAGGAGGGGTGGCCCAGTTTGTTTCTAGGTCTCAGGTATATACATAAAGGTACACAGCTGAAGAAGAACAGCTAAAGTGGAGCAGCTGTCAGGACCCACACAGTACAGTGCAGCAGCTCTCTGGAGGGCCATTTTTCATATTAACAAACACATGACACAACTGTGCTCTTTATGTATCAGGGGAAGCAGAAACATCAAATGAAAGTACTGCAGTGTTTGTGCTGCAAAGGCTCGTTATTCTGGATGTTTTCTAAAGGACTACAGAGGAGTTTGTTACTGTGATTGTCAGTAAATGTTCCTGACCTGCAGTACCAACATGCACATATCAGCCACAACATTTAAAACACTTATATGTGAAGCGAACAACATTGATTATCTCAGTGTAAACTTCCAGGGCTGAAACGCCAACGCGGAACTGCCAGAAACTACAATTTGTCCAACGGCCAATTTAGGCTGGCTCCAAAATGCTCATGATGTCAGACTTCAGCTATGAAATGAGCATGATTGGTACAAAAGTGGCAGCCGTGACTCAAACAGCTCATCGAGTAATTAAAAGGTCAGTGGTTTGATCCCCACCTCCTCCAGGACGCATGTCCACGTGTCTTTTGACAAGATGCTGAACTAAACGACCCTGATGCATCCGTCAGGGTCGTGTGTGTGTGCAATAGTTTGCAAGAACTTCAAGTCAAAGAGTCAAAATGACTGTGTGTGAATATGGCCTGTATTAAAAAGTGAAATGAAATCTCAGAGTATAAAATATGAAGTGAAACTGGCTTCAAAGGGGTTACGAATCAACAAGCATACAGTAAGATTTACAAATATAATGTGACTGCGATCCTCACGCAAGATTTTACAAATGTGTACCTCCAAACCCGAATAAATAGCACGCACCACTTCTTAAGTTTGGCTTCACACATTGGAAAACGTTCTTGTTCAAAACAAACCTACCACTTACAAAAGAAATACAGTGAATGCAAAAGTATTCGGCCCCCTTGAACTTTCCCACATTTTGTCACAGTACAGCCACAAACATGAATCAGTTTTATTGGAATTCCAATTCCAATGGAATTATTGGAAGTGGAACGAAAATCCAGTCAAAGTCCAGATCTAAATCCAATCCAGAATCTGTGGCAAGATCTGAAAACTGCTGTTCACAAACGCTGTCCATCTAATCTGACTGAGCTGGAGCTGTTTCAAAGAAGAATGGGCAAAGATTTCAGTCTGTAGATGTGCAAAGCTGGTAGAGACAGACCCTAAAAGACTGGCAGCTGGAACTGCAGCAAGAGGTGGTTCTACAAAGTATCGACTCAGGGGCTGAATAATTACGCACACCCCACTTTGCAGTTATTTATTTGTAAAACATGCTTGGAATCGTATGATTTTCGTTCCACTTCTCACGTGTGCACCACTTTGTGTTGGTCTTTCACCTGGAATTCCAATAAAACTGATTCATGTTTGTGGCTGTAATGTGACAAAATGTGGGAAAGTTCAAGGGGGCCGAATACTTTTGCAACCACTGTAGACACAGATCACGTGGCATGCCCACATGGAGCTTTAAGACAAATTTCATGCTGCCAGATTCAAATCCCAGCGGGAAACTGGGACATCTGGGCTTCCACTGTATTCGTGTATGTTTTTTTTATTCTATCGTTTGTTTGTTTTGTTTTCAAAGTGGTCATCATACAGTTTATGGATGCAGATCAACAGAAAGGTTTGCTAATTTTAGCTGACACCCTACCGCTCCATCCAAATAAGGGACTCTAAAAAACTTCAAATGGACTGATGTTGACTTCATGTTGCAGATCCTGGCTTTCATTTAGCTGTTACTCTGAGGATTTCTAGAAGTCTCTAAGATGTCATACCCAGTTTCTTCTGTACTTTCTAATATATCTTCATTTTGTCAATAATGGCATCTGCAAAGTCAGAAGTAGTATCTTACAAAAGTATTTAACATACAGTTTCTTAGCCTTTTTGGATATTTTGTATTTTAATGATGACTCAGGATATCTCTGGAGTACAAATGTCTACTGGGCCAGAATGATTATTATTATTAGATTATTATTTGTACATGGTTACATCTGCTCAGTGCAGTTTGTTGTTGCACTGTGGGCTGTCAGTTGGTGTCATGGCAGTCAGACGAAGGTTCAAGCATGTGCAGTCTGGATCTTGAAGAGGGAGGGGGCTAGGGTTTGCTGCAAAGTTGAGTCACTCTGTGTTCCCGAGTGCTTCACAGGCAGACATAAAACACACACTTCAATGGGCAGCTGTAGAAAAGCGGCTGGACTTTATCTTGAAGACTTTTCACCTCCAATAAGAGAAGCTTCTTCGGTTCTAAGACCAAATGGTGGAGAGGCCCAGGTATTTAAGCCCTAGTGAGAGAGTCGTCCCTGACAAGGGGAGGTGCACTGTTGGTCTAAACTCCCATGGCAAATTGGTCCTGGGTGAGGGACGAGACAAAGAGAAAACCCCTACGAGCAGAACACCAAGGGACCAGTTCACCTTACTGGGATAGGGTTACTGGGGCCCCGCTCTGGAGCCAGGACCGGAGAGGGTGCCCGAGAGGGTGCCCGAGGGTGAGTGTCTGGTGGCTGGGCCTTAGTCAATGGGGCCCGGCCGAGCACAGCCCAAAAAAGGGACATGGGCCAATCCTCCTGCAGGCCCACACCTACAGGAGGCGCCACAGGAGTCGGGTGCATTGTGTGCTGGTCTGCTTGGGTTGCTGCCCCCGCAACCCCGATAAGTGGAGGAAGATGGATGGACACTGAGGTGAATAGAAACCTCAGCACTGAAGTTTACCTGAAGCCCCCACACACACGGACCAGTACCTCCTCTTTGACTCCCACCACCCTCTGAAACACAAACCTGGAGTAATCAGGACCCCACACCACCAGGCAGAAAATGCTCCCTGCCATCTATAATCCAGTTTCGATGGTCCCGTCCCAGTGATCTGAGTAGGTCACATGATAGGGTGAGACAATGTTTTCACTGGAACCTCTGCTGATAATGACCACGCCCCTTTTCCACACCTCATGTGATGAGGCACGTGATCAATAGGCTCCTCCTTCCTCTTTAGGAGCCTGTTTGTTGGTTTTGTTTCTGACTCGAATTTATTTTTTACAATTATCCAAAAACATTTGTCAATAATGACAATTAAGAAAACAAGACTGATGTTATTCAGGAATATTTTATTATTATGATGTGACTCGTCTGCATTAACTACACTGTGACTGACACAATCTGAGTGAGTGTTTGGAGAAAGAACCTGTAGTTTGAAGACAGTATGTGTGTGGCTGGATACTCTGAGATCAAGCCTCAGTATCAGAAGACTGCAGACACACATCGTTGGGCTTCAACTAGATTTAAAGGTTCAGCCTATAAATCTACATGGAGCTGAGACAGCAAAGAAACGACACTGCATTATGCTTCTCCTGCCCAACGTAAGACTTTTCCTTACTAGGAATTTTGCTGATCCCTCAGGATTTTTACCCACGCTTAGTGTTTGTTTCCTGCTCCTGCTATTTGAGACTGTTTGGGAATTTAGTTAGATCCATAAAGTTTTGGACAATGACCTTTTTTGTAGCTTTGTGTCTGGATTCACCACAGTAAACTTTAAAACAATCTGACTGCAGACGTCTAGCTTTAATTCAAGGAGTTGAACACAAACGTTTCAGGAATGACAGACATTCTTAAACATAGCCTCTGTGTGTACAGTACATCACATTTGTTTTCACTCCTGTAGCTTTTCCTGACATACACAAACCTTCAATTTTGGGGTCTGAGAAGAACAAGCCCTGTTAGCTGATCTAAAAGGGCGTCTAATGGGTGCATGAGTCTGTAGACTGATTAACAGCTGACCACCTGCAGTTACAGGTGCCTCGGCTGCTGTGACGCTTTTGTGCATTTTAGCACAGCTGTGTCAAGCGACACAAGCCACAGCAAGACAACAAGTAAGACTCTGCTTCTCTAGGATGCACGCACACTGAACTGGAGAGCAGCAGAGTCTGCGATCGGCCGGTCCAAAGTCGTAAAGTGTGGACAGTGAAGGACACAGACAGCTGAGCGTGTCTTTGTGCAACACAGAGATCACCGACCTGCACACTGACCTCCTTTCTGCAGCTACACCAACATGTACAGCACGAGTGACGAGCAAGCATAACAGGAAACACGGCTTCCAAACTGAGCAGTTATTGTGGTGCAGGGTTGGAAGAAGATACACACACACCTACATTACGAGGACATGCTCGTAGACACTAAAGGTTCAATAGTTCACTGATTTGGTCAGTTCATTTCCAATTGTGTTTTTGTCCACATCATTCAAGTATGTGTGTTTCAAAAATTATTTCAGGTGAGAGTGCCAAGGTTGCCTTTGCTACAAGCCATTTATGAGTATTCAAACCAAACCACGTGATCTTTAAAACATTTTCCATCTTCAAAATTTAAACTCAAAGTCAATCAAATACACGGTTTCAGCCGCAACACACATGCAACAATACTCTTAATCTGTTCTCACTTCAAGTTTTGACTTAATTTAAGGGAAAACAAGAAAAATCGACACAGTTTGAGCGAATTTTAAATGCACAGGAAATGCAAAGGTGCTGATCCGTAGACAAGCTATTTGGAGAAGCTGAAACTAAAGTTACCTTGTGCTTTAGATTAAAAAACAAAAACTGGTGTTGAAGAAAAACACTGTGGCGTGTGAGTTCAATGCATGAGTCTTACCTGCTGATACATCCAAAGGGCTGCGAGGAGCTTGTGGTTCGGGCAGCATGGGGCTGTGCTCCTTAGGGGCGACTGATCCTGCTGGAGGTGTGAGAATCTGGGGATCTGCAATACTTGGAGGCTTTTCTGCTTGAAGGGGTGCAGCTCCCACCTCCACGTTCATCCCAATCCCTCCAGGCTGGGAGAAACCTGAGGAACAAGAAAGCAGACAAACAGGTAAACCTTCTCTTTGCACCGACAGCATTACTCACTGTGACATGAAGAGAAGAGGAAGAAACAGTAAGAAGGTCAAAGAAAACACCACATACAACCTGAATGCAGTCAACATTACAGCTCTGAATACGCTCGTAGAGGGGAGGGGCCTGAACATACACAGCATGTGTGAGAGATGAGGTCATGAACGTGGTCGCAGCAATGAACGAGACTCTTCACCTGCATGAGTCCCAAACTGATGCACGTGTCAGCTGTACTTGTATAGGTCAGAGTGTGTGTGTGTGTGTGTGTGTGTGTGTGTGTGTGTGTGTGTGTGTGTGTGTCCAAGCCTGCAGGGTGTTTTGGTGGCCCAGAGACGACAGGTCTCATTAAGACAACAATGAGAGCTGGCTCTGCAGAGGCTGGCATGGTGAAAGGCATAACTCAGCCTTATAGCTCACACTGTGAGTGTGTGTGTCACTCTGCAAACTACCAGCAGATACAAAGCCAGTGACGGCTAAAGCTCTGCATGCAACCAACAAGGGTCACGTCCACAAATGCAATTCGTCAGCGTGGACAACTATTGGCTATTCTGGGGCAAAGTTCCTGGTTGGAAGTGGCATTTTTAATGAGGAAGGAAATTAATGAGCTGTAATCATCCACAGTGATGAAGGCTGAGGTATGTTTGCAGAAACTGAGCACAGCGATTGTTCTGGCAGGCAGAGCTTCAGCGCTGACATTATAATAATGGAAATATATCATATATAATAATCATTCTATTGGATCCTTTATATATGTAGTAATAATATATAAATGAAAGTCACGTGCTTGAGTCCGTTCCCTCAAAATGTTTTTGTTTTTCTTTCAGCATACAATGTTGAAATCAAATACACCAACAAAACAGGTACAAATACAAGTCTGTTCACCAGTGGTGTCCAACACTGACCAACAAAGACTCCAAACGTTGGCCTTGTTAACTGTAAGTTTTACAACTTCTTCCACTGAGAAACAGCAAAAGACCAAATGCAGCTATTCAAACGTCTCTTACTGACTGCAGCAGGGTGCTGGAAATGTCAGTGCTCAGGCTGGTTGCTGCCTCAGGGACTTTGCTTTGGTAGTAATCGATTCAACTATGAAATCCAAATCATATCAAAGAGTGTTTGAGTTTAATGTGAAGCTAAACAGAGTCCTCACTGTGAGAACGTGTTAGCAAAGCCAAAGAAGGAAAATCACTGAGATCCCAACGCATCCATTTTAATATGGGATCCATTTGAGACTTCCTGCTTGAGTTATCGTGTCGCCCGCTCAGCCGTCAGCTGTGAAAGGCTAGAAATACAAATACTTACCATATGATGCTGCAGCTACTGTACCGCCAAAATTTTAAGAAGCCATCAACAGCATGTGAAGACAGTGACTTTAGCCCAGAACACATATTTAATAATAGCACTGTCATACATGATAATTAGTCACACAGAGTAGTGCAAAATGCAGATGAAGCCTGGAAAGCAAAAGGAGGAACGACTCAAACTGGAGCAACACCAGAGTAAACACTGGAGTGGCCATCCATGACCGGAGAAAGCTCCGCACAATAAATGGTCATGAGAATGAAAATGTTGATCTCAAATGTTTCTTCTGTGACAGAAAGATAAAAATGGACCTGGCTCTGAAGAAAGGAGCTAACTGACAGTCTCTGCACAGAGAGGTCAGGAGTGCATGATGCTCAACTTCATGACTTCAGTGCTACTCGGCTGCTCTGAGGTTAACACAATAACCCACATATGCACACAGGATACAAAGCCCTTACTTCAAATATACACAATAGATAATTACAGTGTTCATATTCTGAAATATGACAATATCAAAGCTGCAGACACAACGCAGCACTTCATCATGTGTAGCAGGCTCTCCATGAGTGAGCCCTGTGTTTGTAAGTAGGAGACTCTGTAGTGACACAGACCCCATCAGACAGTGTTGCTGAGTAATGATAAGCATCATTCAATTACATATCACACACACACACACACACACACACACACACACACACACACACACACACACACACA